GGTGTACCATTTGCTACTCTCCCTCAGGCAGCAAAATATTTTCATGGCTTGGCCCTAAATGTTCCATTGTTGAAGTAGGACTGGCCCAAGATATTTTGCTGCCTGAAATGAAGGACAACATGGTGCCCCCTTCTAGAATCCATATACAGAAGCTGCTTGGACTGGAAGTCTGACCCTTACTTGAACACTGAAGATGAGATAGCATCCTTCAGTACACCCAAGACAGCAGGCTAAATCATAAGGCCCAGTGACAGGGCTAGCCTGGTGGTTGAACCTCAGATGGATAGTGGATAAAGACAGCAGGCTAAATCATAAGGCCCAGTAACAGGGCTAGCCTGGTGGTCGAACCTCAGATGGATAGTGGGGTTGCCTCTGCTGCGTTCTGTTTCCTGAGCTGGCCGTGATCCCCAATACCCTCCTCACTCTTGTGGGTGTGGCATCATGGCTGTGAGTGATGGTTGTAGTGCTTCTCTGCCTACCTTCCTTATGAGGAAAGAGGCTGTGCACTGCCACTGCCCAGCAAAAAGTACGGTGTGACATACACAGACCTCACCTCTCGTAGAAAGAAACAGCTAGGGAGTTCATGAGGAACAGATAAAGGGCTGCTACTGCTGCCAAAGCCACACATACCCACTCTGCCCTGAGATATGGGCATGGATTTCCCATGCCAAAGGAGGACCATAAAGTGGTGTTCTCTACCAAAGAAAGATGTGGTTGTTAGGAAAAATAAATGGCAATGTCCAAAGGAGGACCATAAAGTGGTGTTCTCTACCAAAGAAAGAGAACACTTTCTTGAAAGTACAAAAGAGGGGAGGGGGAGTAAATAGGGCCAGGAGGCATTGCCATTTATTTTTCCTAACAACGACACCTTCACTTCTAGACTTCAATGTTCTCCAAATTTTGGTACCTCGAGGCGAAGTCCCGGTTGCTCCATCCTAGTTACAACCTTCACTGGTGCTCTCCAGTAACTGCTGCCTGAGGAAAGCAGAAGTCACCCCTCTGCGTAATGGAAGGGCCGGCTCTGTTTTTCAACAGTGGACCACTTTGTGCTTTAGAGATAATCTGGAACTGGGTTTCAGACCTTTATGGGAAAACACTTCTAGAAAACATTCACTTTATTGTCCAGCCGGCCCTTTTGGTATTTCCACAGATTTTAAACTTCAAAGGCTGCTTTTAGTAAAGTCACCAGACTTTATGCCTGTCATACAGTATTCTCAGCTGACAACAAGGTGCTCCCTTCCACCGATTATGGGTGACTCTCTAAAGTCACTATAACAGACGCGCTAGAAAGTTTTTTTCCCCCCAATTTGGTCTGATTTCTATCCCACCTTTCTGCCAAAATGGGAATGCAGCACAGCTCCCGAGAAACGATTCCAGGCATAGATACATTAAATTTTACAATATTATAATAGAACTGAACACGCGATATGATTAAAACACACTTAAAATAAAATTAGTTTTAAAACACATCAGTAAGAAAGAAGGCAGCTACACATTAAAAGCCCCTTAGCAAGCAGTTGCCTGCTCAAAACCCGCCTGTCTTTTTTGGCCTCAGAAGGAGGGAATGTTAAACTTTTTTTTAGTTTTCTCTCTGGAAAACCCTGAAAAAGGTCTCACCATCAGTCAGAATTGACTTGATGGCACATGGTCATCATCATCATCATCATCATCATTATAATTTTAATATACTGCAGGTCATCGTCATCATCATCATCATCATTATATTTTAATATACTGCAGATGGCAGAGGCTTCTTATTTTCCCTCCCTTACTTACACAGGGAAGTGGGTGGCAGCAGGAAAGCCTGTTTCCAGAATGAGAATGATAGATGTCCCTTGAGCTGGCTGTCTAATGCAGACCTTGGGTGGCCCGTTTGTAGGGGAACCTATTTCCTTTGCTCGTCTTCTTGCTGTAGTATTTCATATGAAATATTTATGTGCACAGGGGAAGGAAAGAGAAGCATCTTCTAACTCATAAGTTGACTGGAATTTTTGCTAGTATTCTCTATTTTGTTTCTTGGATCAAGAATCCAAAATTCAATCACTATTTTGTCTATGATATAATAGATGTTAAAAACTACAAAAAATGCAAGATAGCAAGGACTGCAGGATCTTCACCAGCAATTCCATGTGCTTTACACAGTTACTATCTGCTGTCTCCTTGCCTTCTCCCGCTTCATTACATTTTCATATTACATTGCAGTGAGCTCAAGGTGATATGAATGGTCCACCATCTCCCCACTTTACTCTCACAACAACTTTTTATTGTTTCATGTGTCTGAGAAAGTGGAAATCTCATACTGCAATGTATTCGTTTTAAAGGTGCTACTATATTGTTTTCTTTTTGTTGTTGCCGCAACCAACTAACACAGCTACTTCTCTGAGGAATTAAGGTATTACAAGGCTTATTTCTTTTCTGCTACTACAGCATAACAATATTCCTATCTTATTTGCTGCATTTTAAGATAATAGACCCATTGCATATTCAATTTCATGATTTCTGAAGTCTTCAAGCCACAGAACTATGAGTATAATATGGGATGAGACAAAAAATCTCTGTGGTAAAATAAGGAGAAGAGTAAACGCAGAGAGATAATCAGAACACACCATTCATGGATCCTTCCAGGGACCCATTGGGTCTACTCTTGTGTTCACAAAGCCACCAGCCAGTTAGTTACCTTATGGGAAACCCCCAGCATGATTTTAGGGCAAATGCCTCCTCTCCCTAGGAAGAGTCAGATGCCTCCGTTACTGTAGAATGAAAAAACTTGCAGACATTTTGCACCCTTTTGGTTAGCTTAATAAAGGGTATTACATTACTGTGGATTTTGTACAAAAGAAGCACTTCCAAATTTGGTACAAAGCAGTATGCGATAATCAGGGACAGGGGATATCTTTGTTCCTTGTGTTGTTTGAAAGTATTAGGAATTAAGCAAACAGAATATATGCACAAGGATGTGGGTGACTGAATTCTCCCCTCTTCATACTTTTCAGATAAAAAGTGGTACAGTTTTTAACTCGATGCAGCTGGCTTGGTACATTAAGAAAAGGGATGAAAAGGTTTGTTCACTTTTTTTGGCCGAGGGCAAAATGCTGCCTTCCAGATGATATTAGGGTACAGCTCCCGTCAGCATTAACCAGTGTAGCCCTTGGTAAGGAATGTTGCAGTCCAACAACATCTGGAGCCCTGCAGTTCACCCATGCCTGCCTTAGAGTGAAGTGCAAATTGGGAATTTGTACTCCCGTGTGTATGCCTGACTGTGTGGAAGCTCCGTGTGTGGAATTAGATGGACCCTTAACTTGCGTCACTTCTGCTATTCATAAGGCAGACCTAGTTGACTGTATGATCCCAGAACACACGTGGACAATGAAAAAATCAAAGGGTGCCTTTCTTTGTGCATTGCAGTGTTTAAGCATTATGCTACAGAGTCTATTCAGGAAATCTGTCTTGTGTGTGAAATGTGTGAAATTCCTTGAAAAGCAGTATGACAAAGCAGTGGAAGACAATGTTCCCAAGTAGAATCTTGTCAACAAAGCAGGTTTGGGCAGATATTCCACGTTAACTGGAATATCTGCAAATGCCATGAAAAACCAGAAAGCAATTATTTCGTGTGTGCGTACTGATACAGTACTATTTTATCCACATAGAGGAAGCGTTTTGAGTTTCTTCGTCCTGAAGAATTAAGACAATTATACCCCCATAAAGCTGGGGGTAGGTGTGGGCTGGAATGATTCCAAATGTTGTATATTTCTTTAATTTAACAGCCTCCCCTCACTTCAGCAGTTTGCAGATCTGCCTTTCACTCAGGATCCACAAAAGACTCCCAATTTATATTTCTGCTATAAGATGGGGAGAGGAGTCTTACAGGACCTTTTAAACTTTTTGGATGACAGCCTCCAGCCTGGGTTTCTGAACAATCCAATGAACATAGTAAAAAGCTCGTGTTGACCGAATCAGATGTATACAAACTCTCCCACTCAAAGATCAGGTCCTGTCCTGTCTGCCCTTCGCTGTCACGTCCAGCTTAACATAATAGCGTTATCCAGATGATAGATGCTTTTTCTTAGTATTTGCCTCCAGTAGCTGGAGTGAGAGGTAATATAAAAGCTTACAGGTCAAACAGGAACAATAAAGAGGGAGCAACTGAAAGAGAGAGAGAGAACACCCATCATTCGCTTTATATATTTTTAAAATCCTCTTATTTAAAAACATTTGTGGTTTCTCTTTACAAGTGCTTGGATTCTCAACATACCTATTCATTACCTTTTACAGGATCTGAGGTCACAGATTAGCCAAGAATATAAACTGTAAGCAAGGAAGGCAGCAGTTTCTTCAAATCTTACCTCAGCCCAAATTCACAATGTGGCATTAGACAAGCTGCTGTCCTTCCCAGTCTCAGAAAATGGTCCCCCCCGCCCCGCCCGCCCCCCGGCAGCAGTGCTGGGGGATAATAATATCTGCTTTCCTGTGGTGCCTGTTGTTAGGATTATAGAGATAATGTATGTCTTGTGCTTTATGCACTCAAAAATTCACTATGTAAATGCCAAATAATGTTTTATCAGTAATGTCAATTTTACTCCCTTTAAGTCCATACATGTTGTGGGACAGACACCATTCTTATTTCCTCACTGGATAAGCCTGAGAAAGCAGAGGAAGCTGCTGGTTCTACACTTTCCCCAGTATTCCATACCTGCCAAATGAAGGAGGGGTCCACTGAGGAGAAGCACATGTGCCAATGTCTGTAAACTACACTGGGGGTGGGTGGGAGGATGGCATTTACAATTCAGTACCATGTAAAAGGGAGAAAAACCCAACCTAAGTCTGGTGTGTGCCTCTCGCCTATTTGTTCTTTGTTTAGTCCTCTCTTGGACAACAGACAATAGACAACAGCACAGCTTTGTTCCTGAAGTTGCTGGCAAAGGTTGGTTGGACTGGAGGACCCTTGAGGATGCAGGATGGGTGGTCTCAGACCCTACTCATCGATTACTTTTGTATTGCAGTCGGGCTCCCCAGAACAAGAAGGATTCTTCAACTTGCTGAGCCATGTACAAGGAGGACGCATTGATGAGCAACGTTGCAACATTCAGATTGTGCACAGCAGTGGCAAGAGTGAGTTAACTAAACACGGGGAATGAGGAAACTCTTTGCACCAGTGATCTTTGAAGAGGCCTTGCCATTTCTTGATCCTGCTGACCCCAAGGCCAGATAAGGTCCATCTCTTGGAAGTCCACCTCTTTACAGACTGGCTGTATCCAGTTTTTAAGATGTGCACATGGGTAGTTGCATCTGCAAGCTAGTCTTCCAAAGTCTTAATAGAATTATATGCACAACCCCATTAGCCTGGGAAATCTGCTAGGAGGCCAGACTTCTAGTCCATTTTCCTTTAGCACCTTTGTGTAGTTTGTCAACAGAGTTTGTTTAGAGTCCTGGCTAGGCAAGTCATGAAAAGATGCTCATGTGAGTGTGAAGTATGACAACCAAGAGATGGGTGCAGATGGCTCTCTGCTGACCATGAGGGTATAGTTGTGGTGGTAATTTGACAGGTGAAGTCAATAGGATGACATAAGGAATTTGGTGTCTTCATCATCCACCTCAATACTGGAAATTTAGTTAAAAGAAACAGGACTCAGCTGAACTTGAAAGCATGACTCCTATCTAGAAAGGACTGGGTAAAATGCGTACAAACATAGAAGCCAAGGTGTAGAGAAAACATTGTGATGCAGGTTCTGAGCGTAAAACATGTTTGTTTGTTTGCTTTGTTACACATGCTTCTTAACACATGGATTTGGGATGCAGGTTGTACCAGAAAATTACTTTTCACAAGGTTTAAGGGTTCAGATGCAACTCAAAGACCTTCGTTTGTTCCCCTTGCCTAAGAAGAAGGCAGGGCAGCCGCTTAGGTCCCTTGCCATTAGAAAGAGTATGTGAAGGACAGAATCCTAGGCAATGACAGTGTAGGAAGACCATTATCTTGATGATGTAATACATTCCATACAATCTCTGCATTTATAAAATGAAGGGTATATAAAGATATCACAATGGAAAACCAAGAACCGGATGATAAAAAAAAAACCAAGACATTTTGGGAGTTCTGAATGTGGTCTGTCATATTCCCTTCTAGATTCAAACATCTTCCTGGTTTGTCAGATAGTGCTTTAACAAGTCCTGCATCAGGAAACCTGATTTCACAGACAAGATGCTTTGTATGTTAGGAATTTCCACTGTTCTGTGAAATTACTGAAGTTCCACCTCCATGACATCAAACTGACTGACAGTGTGGGTTTCAGTCTACTGCCTAATAAAGCCATAATAGCTGAGAAAAGAGGATTAGGTCCTAAAACTGTTCAGCCTTGGTAGCCACTTGTTTTAACAGCCATTTCTATTTGTTCTGAACAGAAGACAGCCCCAGCCCACCACCAGAGATGGACAACTTCATGGAAATGTTGGCTAACACACAGAGCCGGCGGATGGATGATCAACGTGTCAGCATCAACTACCTCCCAGGCTTCCAGAACACTGACCGCAATGCCAACAACAAACCGGCCTCTGGAAGCACAAAGGTGAGGGCAGAAAGGGAAAAGTGTGGCAGTGGGGAAAGGGTGATACCACAATGTTTCAGCATGTCATTTCAGTCTCAATAGTCATGTGGCCAGCATGCTCAAAGCATATATGTTGGCTGAGATGTTCTGCCACCATGCACCAAGTAGCATATCCAATAGGCCACACGGCTATACCAAGTCACAGTAGCCCTAATATGTTCCCACATCCTCAGAGGCTGAACATAAATAAGCTTTGAAATATGTAGCCCATTCCATGTGATTTGTTTAAAATGGGTGCCCCATATTTCTGTTACAAAGCTCTCAAAGCAGGTTACATTAATAACTAAAAGCATCAAGCATCAAACATGGATAAAAATTAAGAAAAGGTGAAAATTAAACTCACCAATAAACAGCTTCTTTAAACAAAATGAAACAAAAAGCATATCAAAAATGGTACATAAACTCTTTTATCCCCAATTTACTACTGCTGCTGGTATCAACATATTTTACAAGCATTACAAGAATCTGCAGTCACATTTTACCACAGACAAGAATGGCAAGAGTATGAATTCCAAGAGCTACTGATTTATTTATTTATTAAAATATTTTATGACACCTTTTTCCTTAAAAAAAGATCCAAAGCAGCATACATCATTAAAAAGGACAATACTTAAAAACTAAAAACAGCAAGTTTACAAATAATTTCAAAAGTTCAAACAGATATCATATTAAAATCAATAAATAAAATAAATATTAAAAACACATTTAAAAGACCAAGGTGCAACAATTTATTGGGGGGAAAAACCTCTCAGCCTGTCACTAAAGGAAAGAAAGCCTACCTAAATAAAAATGTCTTTGCCTGCCTGCAGAAGGAGAGCAAAGATGGGGCCAGGTGGGAGGGAGTTCCAAAATCTGGGAAAAGCAACAGAGAAGGCCCTTTCCCATGTCCCCACCAAGTGCCTCTGAGAGGGACTGAGACAAAGGCCTCTCCTGATGATCTTAACACCCAAGCAGGCTCATAAAGGGAGACAGGCCAGATCAGACGTCTCCAAGAACACTAGTGAACTAGTTTAAACTGTACAGATTCACTCCTGGCCACCGTCAAAACCTGGCCGTCCAGGCTCAGAGACAACTCCTGGAGCACCCCTAAACTGTGCACCTGTGCTTTCAGAGGGAGTGTCACTCCATCCAACACAGGCTGTATCCCTATTCCTTGTCTGCCTTTTGACCAATTAGGAGAAATACTGTCTTGTCTGGATTAAGTTTCAGTTTATTCACCCTCATCTTTGGTCCGTTACTGACACCAGACACTGATCTAGAGCCAAAACAGCATTGTTGAATGGAAAGGAGACATCTTCACCATGCCGACAAACAGAATTGCCATCTCCTAAAAACAACTGCTTCACCTGCACTGCAAGGACTACGAAAGAATCTCCCCCTCCCCAACTAATTAAAACCAGTTTGTTAATAAAGGGCATAAGTGATCCTATAGGTATTTCAAACTTCCTATGTCTCAATTTGTTTTCCTTGTTGGTCCAAGAACATTGTAAAAAAGTAAGGGATTTTTTTTCTCTCTTTTAAATTATGACAGTCTATTCTTTCTCACTCTCTATATCAGGACCTTTATTTGTCATTGCTACTATGTGCCATCAAGTCGCTTCCAACTTAAGTTGACCCTCACAGGATTTTCAAATCAAAAAGAGGGTGCAAATTTGCATCCATGTTGCACTTGCTAATTTATCTGTATGCCTGTAAACAAAGAATGAATTACTGGAGGGTAAAGAAAAAAAAAATTAAAGCAGCTCACCCAATAAAGAAAACAACGGTCTGTTTTCCAGGTGCAAACAGTTGATGGGTAAATTCAGTACCCCTGCAGTTCTCCTTTCTCCCAACATTATCATAATTTATGTAACACTTCTAGTCCATCCATGCTTTGTTTTCTTGGGAGGTAGGTGGTTACTCTTCCCATGTCGAGTGTGAGACACTAACTTAATAACGACTACCCACTACCTGCCAGGGTTAGATTTGACTCTAGCCTTCCAAATCAAAATGCTATAGATAAATTTCTACTGTTAAAATATTTATAGCGGTCACAGCATACATTCTGAAAGATGAAAGCAATGTCTACTTAAGCCTCTGTAATGGAGTCAGAGATTCCATTTCAAATTCACATGCCAGCAATGACTGCCAGCTAAGATCATGGACCCCATTCCTTTTGATCCTGCAGCATTAAATCTTTTTGCAGGCAAAATCAGTTATTTCAATTATTAACACACCACTATTTGAGGTAAGGTATTACTTCCCCTGATGCTGAACTTCTGTCTTATACTACTCAAACCACGAGTTGTTGTCACACATGAGACTTAGATCATCTTCCTTTTAAATAAGTTCCAAACGTGAATGTAAAATGTGGATTGACTGGGATTTATTTTTCTTCTTTCTTCTTTCCTATGCTTGATAGCCCAGCTGAGTGGCACATATTGCTCAAGAACAATGCTCAGAGGTCCACAATGAAAAAACGTCACATAATAACCTCTCCTTCTCTCCCAGAGGCTGCTGGATTCTGTTTGCCTGCTAGACCTATGTTTTAAAAAAAGTCTTGACCACTTATTAATTGGTTACCATGTGCTTCTTTAAACATTTCAGGTAATTTCCCCTGCCATTTCTCCCTTTGTAACTTCCAGTCCTTTTCTGGCAGATAATCCTGTTTACATCTTTCTTCCAAAGCAGAAAGCCGCTTGGCTCTTCAATCACAAACACAAAACATGCAAAGCAGTGCTGCGTCACAAAAACCAAGCACACACAGGATGTCTTGTACTCCCTGGTCCCTTTAAACCCATGCCCCTTGATGAAAAGTATTAATCTTGTTTGGCAGTCTGTCTCCTAAGATTCCTGTCTTGTTTGAAGTCTCCTCATGACTCTAATAACTAACCTCACTAACATTCTGTTTCTGTTTCTTTCCTGTTTCTTGGCTGGATCAACCCAAGGCCTTGTCTTTGCTGTGTCATGTCATGTCTACAAAAGGCTTCTCCAGGCTGATACTCTCCATAAAGTCTTCATATGCTGGAGGGAACTGGGAGGGAGAAGTCAGGGTTTTTCTGATGGCACATATCAGTACAGAGTGAAAGCTAGGACATGTCATTGCTGCTTGAAATCCCTGCCAATCTAACTGTGCATCTTAAGAGCAAGAAAAGAGGAGAGAAAGGGAGGACTTCCCAAAGAACTGGGGTTGGGGGCATTAGTAGCTGAAATCTGGAGCTTCTTACATCCACCAGGCAAAAGAGCAAGCTGAGAAGCAACCTTTTTGGTCCTAATTCTCTACTCTGAGCTTCTTACATCCACCAGGCAAAAGAGCAAGCTGAGAAGCAACCTTTTTGGTCCTAATGAGTGGGCTCAGCCTCTATAAAAAGACAATACTGTACTGGATATGTTATCCTTTGCCTTGATTAGGGCTAACGACTACAGATGCTTAGAGCATAGGGACAACTTAGGTACTGCCTGTCTTTTTGTCCAGCGTTAGGGGGTGTTGCACATACCTTACCAGTCCACCCATTTCCACAAAGGGGTGAAGAATTGCACAGAGTTTATGTTTGCAGCTGCCAAGATTTTTCAGCAGTCTAAATTCCTCTTTTCTAATGTTGTGTTATCCGTATCACATAGCTTGCCATGAGGCCTCCCTGAAAGCCGCTACAATCTACTGCAAAGTGGGAAGCGCACCAAACTTATAGATTGTTCATCACCCTAAGAACACTGCTTTTGTTACAGTTCAGCAGGTTGGGCTTATATATGACTTGCATGGCTATGTGGCAGTGGAGAAGGGGCCTCATTCCCCTGCAGCAGTGATTCTTAGAGTATAGATCTGTCAGGATATACCGGTAAAGTTCAAGGTTCCCAGAAGGGATGGAATGCGGAGCCTTTCTTATACCATCCACCAAGACTCAGAGGGACTCCATACTCCCTAACATTGAAGAGTCTCCCTCCCTCCCCACTGTGGATTCCTAGGGAAACCTGACACTCCACTTACTCCTTCATCCCATGGGGCGGCGGGAGGGGGGGAGACCTCTGCTTTAACAGGGCTAGAGAGAGGTGCCACATTCCCCTTCTAATTCCTCTCCTTTCTAAATCAGTGCCCCATCTCACAAATCCTCAGCTCCTGGCAGCACTTTGGCTTGTTCACATGTGGAACCGGGGGCTGATGCCAGTTTCAGGCTCAGAAGGGACTATTAGTTTAAAAGGGTGAGAGGAGAATAAACAGAACTAAAATATTTAACTAACCCTGTCTTGGCTAGACCTTAAAGTAGATGCTACAAATTATTCCATAGTGCATCATGAGTGTCTAGGTTTTCCAGAAATAGGTACAAGGCATAGATTGGTCAAGCAACTTGGAGGGGAACACGGACAGGTATGCCTTGAGCAGTAGGCAAACTAACACTGATAATTCCCTTTGGATAAGTCAATTGGAACCAAAAGCTCAATGGACAGCCATCACTAACCATGGGCTACAATAGATGGTCTTTTGGCAGCAAAGAGGTAATGGCAGCCCACACTGGGAATGACAATGAGGCCACAAATAGGAGAGCAAGAAGATGCACCACAGCTCCCACAGCTTCTTGGAATCTTGATCAGAGAATCTGTTCAGTCTGTGTCTGTCTGTCCCTGTGTGTCGTTATGTCCTAGATAGTAATTCCATGGGGTGGAAACCACTCACACTGCCACGGTCTTATCTTCTTCTTTGCAGAAATGAGTACCTCCCCAAACTCTGGTCAGGGAAAGCAGCAAAACAACACCAGCCTGATGCCACCAAGCACAGCATTCCACCATTTGCCCATTAGCACTACCCATCCACTGTGGTACCTGCCCTGCTCACTCTCTGTACATGCCCTGCCATTCCAATAAAGGCTCACACGGTTTCCTCCTTGTTGGTTTCCTTAGCGGCAGGCCTAAGGCGGCAGGTTCACTGCTGATACAACACGCAGCCACTTCTGTCCATCACAACACATCATTCTGGGGAAGGTTAACAT